GGCTCGAGCGTGACGTGGTTAACTGTCAGCATCTACAAAGAGATTCAATATTGTTGAAAAGTGAAGGTGGTGAAGCAGCAAAACAGCTCGCTACACACCTGTAGCAACTGAAGCAGCTGATATTCAGTGTAGTCACCACATCCTCGCTGCTTATTTTTCCAACAACTTGTTATAAGAGATGCACACACTTTGATGGAAAGGGGAGCTGATGTCCTTTCCATCAAAGCCTTTCTTTGCTAATGTGCTAAAGGTGTTGTTAAATATCCCACGTTAGGGGAAGATGATCCACACAGAACTGCAGAACAGTCTCAGACGTCTGCTCTTCTGTTAGCTTATCATGTTAGCTTCCATGATAATAAGGATGCAGTTTGTGCCATCTTTCCCTTTAGTTGTGGTTAATCAACAAGAGTGATGTGCTCGCCACCTGTTTGTATTTCATGGTCTTCCCTGCAGACACGCACACATACAGACTGAAGATTGTTTGGAAAAGATGCTATTAGTAACTGAGTGCCAATACAGAAATGATGTCGTCATTCAAACCTATTAACAGCTCAGTGTTTCCCCAGGATAACATTCAAGTGTAAATGTCAGAGAAACACATTATGGGACCCATGTCAGCCACTGTACATGTGATGGTTTATTTACAGTTAAGACTATTTAAGCGAACCTGTAGAATTATTAGATAAAGTAGGAAAATGCATAGAGCTGTACATAACTGTTGCATAATTTGACCATAATTTGAACGTTTACTTCCGTGGTGTGCGACATGATGATGTGGAGGCTGCATGTGCAGCTCTGAGATTTGCAGCTCTGGTCTTTAAATCTAGTGACAGGAAAATAACCTGATGGAGTCAGTCTGCCCCCGGTGATGGGAGTGTGCTACAGTCATAAACCAGCTGCTGTACAGGCTCCACCAACATCTGTCCCAGGAGACCTGGCTATGGGTGGATGTTTCCAACACTGATTCTGTTCTGACCTGATCTCCTCATATCCATCGGTGCAGTCAGTGATGGTGGAAGGATGCAAGGTGGAGGAACCAATCAGATGCAGGGGTGTGCACAAAGCCATCAGCATAGAAACCAGTTTGAAAAACACAACGAGGGGACGGTGGTAACACTAATAACTGACGAGGTCCAACAATCACTCTGGTCTGCTTCATCCTGACAGCACAGAGAGAGCCGGTGTGTGTTACTGCTGCCAGCGCTCGGCCTCACAGCTGTCACATATCTCTCTTTACAGAACGTCCACAAAGTGCTGACCACGCCCAGCCTGTTTGGAGAAGGGGGGTAAGAGAGCGCCACCTTCACCTTACAAGCTCCTCACAGCTGTGCAGTCGAGTTCCTGCTCCAATTGTCCTTCTGCTTGTGTGTCTGTCTCCGTCAGGAGTAACAGGTCATCTCCTGCCACGGAAAGCCCCGACATCCCATCACCAATTCCTGACCCAGCCTTCCAGCTGGCTGTGGAAGCCAAAGAGCTGGTGGAGGGGGTGTGTACTCTCACATCTGATACAGGTACAGAGCTCACTAACCCACAATAAAAGCCTGAACACTGTTTATACACTACGTGGAAACACCGTGTTTGGAAGGACGAAGGTTCAAACTGCAAACAAGACAACGAA